AGTTTTTCCTTCATATTCATTTTTATTCAAGTGTCGTTGGCTCTATGTTCGCGTAAGCAACTATTAGAACCTAACTTCTGGCATGTCTAATTTTTCCAGATCTAAACTTTAATAACTGGTATGTCTAATTGCACTTTTAGAACCTAACTCCTGGCTTCAGGTTTGGAGCTGTGGATTCCTTGCTAAAATTACAATACAGAGTTTGGAGCTTCTAGTTGTTACAAATGTAAATCAAGGTGCATTTTTCTGCTTCTGTGTATAGTTTCTTTATTGTTGTCTCCTTGTTTTTGTTTTGTGCAAAGAGATGTTATGAAATGCATCTGAATTTTTTATAGCTTATTTAAGGAATCATTATTTACTCTCTATGGAAACAATACTATACAGGATCTGTACACTTAGATTAACATTGCAGAATTCATTGGACGGCTTAAAATTTTCCTCTCCAACTTCATGTAAGTATATTTGACACCGTTTTTATATATCTAAACTCTGAACAAACGATGATCCCTAATCATTTTCTTTCGCCTATCTAATTGCACATATTGTACCTTACTCTTGGATTTGCATATGGAGTCCACCAAATGATGGGAGAAAACCAAGTAATGGACCTCTATATATCTTGCTAAAGCAGAACAACCAGTCAATGTTCATGTAATGCAAGCACGTGAGATATTTTTTCTCAATCCTCTTATTTAGTCTCATTTTTACATTTTCCCAACATCATTGCCCTTTTATTCCAAGAAAGCATGTCTTCTTAATTTGTATTCGTTAATATTCAAGGTGATTCCTAAGAATGTCAAGATGAAATCAACACAACTTCAAGGGAGTGATGTGTCACTTTGGATGAAAGACTTGAATAAAATGTCTAGCTTATGTCATTTCTGTCTAGCTTGTGATCAATCAGTTTCTGGTGGTACGACATTTCCAACTTGTATACGAAATTATTGTACATTTTGAGATTTTCGAAACAGTGAGAAGTTCATGTCTTTTCTGTAGGGTCAGAGAAGGTGTTCTGGTTATATATTTTGCCAGAGAAGTCTTGTTGGATTTGATAACTTCAAGTCCTTACCAAACCAAATAAATGGTCTCACATTCCTTAAGTAATTTCTCAATCGAAATACTCTCAAAGTTGTGTTATTTGTTGTTGGTTTGCCAAGTTGCAACACAAATATTGATATTTGTCCCTTGTTAATCAATAGTTCACAAAAAGAAAGGAAAAGGGAAGACAGGGCTAGAAATCTCCTGAAGCAAATGGATGAGATGGAAAAACATTAAATCACTTCAGAAATTTGTAGGTTGTAATTAATTGTACTCTTGTATCAATTGTTTCAAGTATTTTTACGGTTGTGTCGATTTCATAATTCATTTTTCTTTGTTTTGCAGGTGATCTAGCACCATGAACTTACTATGATGATAAGAGGAATGTGAAGCCTGAGAAATTGCAGTGGCAAGACAGCAGTGTCGGCAAAGGAATTATATCATGGGAAGGAAGAGAGATCATTAAAAACAGAGAGAAACATAAGAAGAGATTTGGCCTTTTTAGATCATCCACTCCATGAATATGATGCTTAATGTCTTATATTTGAGTTGGTAAGTTTTCCGCTAACTAGTAATAGTACTAAAAGTGTGCTAATATCATGAACAAGNCCTGAATTGGACCGGAGAAGCTGTCAGGTTCCGATCCGACCGGCCGGTTCGGTTTTTAAAACAGAGTACTCTACTTGTAAAGTTGTGTCAAAAAGTTTGATTTGAAGGATTAACAAATAAGCTCAACTTAAATTTACATGGCTTTAGGGATTGATAATCGGACATCGTCCATATATTTTGTCCTCAACTCTTAGCTGGTACTTCTGGTCCTACTAATTTTGACTTCATTAATTCGTTGTCTTAGTGATGGGGCTTGGATAATGAGGGTATAGGAAAAGTGAAATAAGATAGCACGTAGTGGATTGAGGGGATGCTGGCAAGAAACTTCCATGGGTTTAGGCTAGGACAGATGGCGATTGGGCGTTGGGACAGCAGAGGAATTCAGTTAGGGGGGGAGAGAGAGAGAGAGAGAGAGAGAGAGAGGATAAAAAGAAAAAGAGAGGGAGAGAGCAGATTAGGGTAGAGAAGAATAAAAGAAAATTTGGGAAGAGCTAACCCTTGAAGTTAGCAATTAGGGAGGAGTTGGCCCTCGAAGTCCAGCATGTTTACGTCCATTTTTGTTATCCTTTTACTGTTCTTTTGGTTGTTTTAATTTTCCTTTTTGGTTGTTCATGTTCGATACAGTTCTTGTATTTATCAATATACTTATTATCTTTCTGGGTTTTGGCTGTGCCTGTTACTGTTTTGCTGGTTTTTGGCTATTTTGTTTTGCTGTGGAATTATTGCTTGGTTCAGTTGTGGAAGAGGGTTCCATCACTTAAGATTGTGTCATCTGATTGACACATGATCGATGTGGTCTAAACAGAGACTGTTTGGTTGAATTCATTTGGTAGTCATCAGTAAAATTTAGCCTTACCATTTTACTCGTGAAGCCTTGTATCTTAGTATAGATGTTATTTTCCAGGCCTTCGTGGTTTGAGCGAAGTACTGTTGCTGCTGTATAAATCCAAAAACACACACAAAAAAAAACAACAATTTTGTCTAATTATATGGTCTGAAAAACATAACTTCTTCAAATGAATATTAATTTCATCTTTATGTCACTAATCAAAACTACTACTATATGCAACTTTAGGTTTTGAACATGAAATACTCCAGCTTTGAGATTAAAATTTTATAAATTAAACAAAATGGACACCCAAATTCTTTATCCGTTGGGCCACCTAAGAGATTGGTCTAACGGTCAAGAAGATTTGTTTAATTTCTTGAGTTTTTTTATTCAAATCTTGGGACTGAAACCTTGGAGTCATCTACCACAATAATATTATAGTTTAACTGATCTACTAAGCTTAGAGGGTGTTTAATAGACCCCGATAATTAATTGTATGAAAAAGTTGGTACAAACATGTCGGTTACCAAAAAAAAAAAAAAAAGCACTTTATCCCTACATTAATTTCATATTTCATGTTAGTGTCACTAAAAAATAGTATCATAGTTTTGGGTTAGTCCTTTGTTGAATGGCGAGCGAATGAACAAATATGGGTAAGCAGGGTGTGGTTCTGGTTCACCTTGACCACCATGTGTAGAGTTGAGGAGAAATGGACAAATTTATCACAAGGACTGATGAAGCCATGTGGATTGTTGTATAACGACAAGCAAATGCACTTGTTGGATTTATTAAGAAATCATCCATATCCGTGTAATGAAGATACGTTTGAAAATGATCACCATGAGTCATTCTGTACCAAGCTCAACCCCCTTTTCTTCCATTGTTCTCAATCAATAACGACAATGCAGAAAACCAATAAACACAAGGAAAAAAAAAAAAAAAAACTATTATTTTTTATTTTCATCCGCCAGGTTGCAATTCTTGATTTATATGATACACCCTGCTTTTGTCCAAACGATTCTAGCAATGATTCTGTTGAACAACTATATCATTGGACAAAATTTGGAGAATTTNGTTGAATGGGGAGCGAAAGAACAAATATGGGTAAGCAGGGTGTGGTTCTGGTTCACCTTCACCACCATGTGTAGAGTTGAGGAGAAATGGACAAAGTTATCACGAGGACTGATGAAGCCATGTGGATTGTTGTATAACGACAAGCAAATGCACTTGTTGGATTTTATTAAGAAATCATCCATATCCTTGTAATGAAGATACGTTTGAAAAGGATCACCATGAGTCATTCTGTACCAAGCTCAACCCCCTTTTCTTCTATTGTTCCCAATCAATAACGACAATGCAGAAAACCAATAACGACAAGGAAAAAAAAAAACGATTATTTTTTATTTTCATCCGCCAGGTTGCAATTCTTGATTTATAATACACCCTGCTTTTGTCCAAACGATTCTAGCAATGATTCTGTTGAACAACTATATCATTGGACAAAATTTGGAGAATTTATATATATATATCAATCTTTTAAAACCCGGCTTGGCCTGTCTGGTTTAATCGGTTTGATTGAGAACTAGCAACTCGGCCAAGCTAGGCCAGCCTTAAAACTGGGGGTCTAAGTTCATCCAGTATGACCTGCAGTTGGACCGAGGTCACTGTAGCAAACTATCGGTCTAAATGGTTTTGGGAAAAAGTCGGGTGAATCAAAATCAGGGGAGACCCAACCAATTTGCCAGGTTTAGCCCCGATTGGTTTTCAAAATATTGAAGTAATCTACATTTCTACTCTGATTAGGGAGTGTTTGTCCAAGCTTATGAAAATTAGCTTATAAATAACTAATGCTAAGCTAATTTGAGCTTATAGGTATTTGAAATTTAAACAGTTACGTATTTGATTAAAGTACTTATAAATGACTGATAAATAGTTGATGCGTTTGGTAAAATGTGGAAGTACATTTTATTTTTAAAATGACTAAAAAATGTACTATAATAACATGACCTATTTAAAATATAAAAATAAATATATATTATGAAATTTTAAAATTAAATAGAAATTTTTTGCTTACAAGTCTAACTTATAAATCCTAAAGCTTAATTTTAGAACTTATAAGATAGTTTCACTTTAACCAGTTTAAAACATCTCCAATGATGCTTTTTATTTTAAAGAAGATATTGATTTGACTTTTTAAATTTTAGGAGAGAAAATATATTTTTTCAAGAAATAAACTTAATAGGAAAGATACATAAATAAAATGTATAGAAACTTGCAATTTATTTTTTAAAATTAGAATAAAGAGTGAAATTTAACTCTCTAGATATAGAGAGTAAAATTTGACTATCTAAATGTAAAGAGTCAAACTAATACTTTAATTTATATTTAAAGAATAAAAAATCTGTTGAACTATTGTTTCTATGGATAAACTCTTTATAATAAAGAGTTTGAGTTATATAAAGGGTTTTTTTGGGATGTTATGATAAGCTAGGCAAAGACCCTAACAATTAGACAGACAAAGCAATTCACAGTATAAGAAAATTTAGGGTTTTACATTGATTAGCTGCAAGTTCAAACTTCAAATTCATATAGGAAAGATAAGAACAAGAAACTTAATATTCTAATTAACATTCATATTTCTCTACTACATCAACCAGTAGATTAATTCTTATAATTGCCAAAGACTGGCAACCAGAAATGACAACATTAAACCACCCATCTCGATAATTATTAAACAACATATCACTGCTGGTACTCAACATCCTCTTCTTCTTCCTCCTCATAATCATCCTCATCAGCTGTAGCATCCTGGTACTGCTGATACTCAGAAACCAAGTCATTCATATTGCTTTCAGCTTCTGTAAATTCCATCTCATCCATACCTTCTCCTGTGTACCAATGCAAGAAAGCCTTCCTTCTAAACATAGCAGTGAACTGCTCACTCACACGCCTAAACATCTCCTGAATCGAAGTTGAGTTCCCAATAAATGTCGATGCCATTTTCAACCCAGTTGGTGGGATATCACAAACAGTTGATTTCACGTTATTGGGAATCCACTCCACAAAGTATGAAGAGTTCTTGTTTTGAACATTTATCATTTGCTCATCAACTTCTTTGGTACTCATTTTGCCCCTGAACATTGCTGAGGCCGTCAAGTATCGCCCGTGGCGCGGATCGGCTGCACACATCATGTTCTTTGCATCCCACATTTGTTGCGTGAGCTCGGGGACTGTCAGGTTTCTGTATTGTTGGGAGCCGCGAGAGGTGAGAGGAGCGAAACCCACCATGAAAAAGTGTAGCCTGGGGAAAGGAATGAGATTAACAGCAAGCTTTCTAAGGTCAGAGTTCAGTTGACCGGGGAACCTCAAACAGCAGGTCACTCCAGACATTGTCGCCGAGATCAAATGATTCAGATCCCCAACTGTCCATCGAATATTCAACTTCAGTCACTCTTAAAAACGGATCTGAAAAGCTTTCTAAAGAAACAAGATCGGAGAAATGGTAGTAAATGAAACTTACAGCTTGGAGTGGTGAGCTTGAGGGTGCGGAAACAGATGTCATAAAGAGCTTCATTATCAAGAACCATGCACTCATCTGCATTTTCAACAAGCTGGTGGACAGAAAGAGTTGCGTTATAAGGCTCAACGACTGTATCAGAGACCTTGGGAGAGGGAAATACAGAGAAAGTAAGCATCATTCGATCTGGGTATTCCTCTCTTATTTTTGAAATCAAAAGAGTTCCCATCCCAGATCCAGTCCCTCCACCCAAAGAATGGCACACCTGAAACCCTGGCACATCAGTAAAAAACAACATTAGCAACCAAACAGAAAACAAAATCGCAAAGAAAAAAAAAAAAAGAAATAAGAGTTTTAAGAACAAACCCTGCAGGCAATCACAATTCTCGGCTTCTTTACGAACAACATCAAGAACTGAATCAATCAGCTCGGCACCTTCAGTATAGTGGCCTTTAGCCCAGTTGTTTCCGGCCCCGGACTGGCCGAAAACGAAGTTATCGGGTCGAAAGATCTGCCCGTATGGACCGGATCTGACACTATCCATGGTACCGGGTTCAAGATCCATGAGGACACCTCTGGGAACGAACCTTCCACAACTTGCCTCATTATAGTAGACGTTGATCCGCTCAAGTTGCAGTTCATTGTCCCCGGTGTATCGTCCAGTCGAGTCTATACCGTGCTCGGCACAGACAACTTCCCAGAACTTGGCACCGATTTGGTTGCCGCATTGGCCTCCTTGGATGTGAAGAATTTCACGCATTTTGGGAAGATAAAGAGAGTTTTATTTTTAAGAAATTTGAGAGAGAAAGGGAGGAAAAGAGAGTTAAAGTTGAGTTTGAGAGAAGGGTGCGTGGTAGGGACGATGAGTACTTTATAAAAGATTTTTGTTTAACGGTTGGATTTGAATGTCATGAAAGGTTTTAGTTTTAACGGTTGGATTTGAATGGGGATTTGAAATGTAAAGCGGGATTTGTGAGTTGTGATTTTTAAAGTGGTCAGTGAAACTGTGAAAGTAACGGTCGGATGGAGACGTGGTTTGAATTTCAAATAGCCAGCTGGAATTGGATGGAAATAGACAACCTAATACTTATGGCCATGGTATGTGTGTTGGCGGTTTCTGATTGGTTTTGGTGAACAATAATGGAGACATGTGCCAACTGTTCATGTATTTGCATTTATTAAAATTTGAACAAACATTAAAATAGGTTCTAAAAAGAGTAAACGACATCTTCCCACCAAGGTTCAACAAAATTCCCGGCTCCCACTCATGGTTTCATAAATTTCAAATTTTTATTCTTAAATTAACAGAAAACCATTTAAGCTAACGACGAAAGGGTAAAATAGTTATTTTATTCTTGAAACCAAACGTTAGTGGTTGGCATATTTTAGTAGGACTAGCACACATTAGCAAACGTCACCGATGGCGTTTTTAGCCTTTTTTTTGCTACCTTTCCACCTAAAATAGCCCCCCCCCCCCCCCCCCCCCCCCCCCCCCCCCCCCCCCCCCCTTTTCTTCCTTGCTTCCTCCTCACATTTCCCCACCCTCCTCCCACATCGAAGCACCCTCCATTCATCGAAAAACGACGACCATTTTACTTCGCAAACCTCTATCTTTGCAACCATTTTCCAATTGCCTCACTTATCAGAAATTCACTCAACAACCTCAATTTGAACCCCCATTCTCCCCTCTTCAAAACCCACCCTAACATCAGCTTCCCTCACTCACTGTTTTTGGTCCATCGGCCTTTCTTTTGTGCCCAGTAGAGGCGTTTGACTTCGCAAACCTCCGTCTTTGCAGCAATTTTTTGATCGTCTCACTCATCGGAAATTCACCCAATCGCCTCCATTAGACTCCCATTCTCTCTTTTTCAAAACCCATCCCCACATTAGTCCCCCTCACTCACCGTTTGCCGTCCACCGGCCTTCCTTTTGCGCCCAATGGATGGGGCGTTTCATTGAGCACTTGGTGTGCCTCTGGGCGAGAAAGCTTCTTGAATGAGCTAGGAATGGCAGAAATTCCATAAATTTGCATCAATAAATTACAATCAATCTAAACCTCTCTAAGCTACACATAATCAATTATCAATATTCCCCATGATCTCCAAAATCTACCAATCAAAGCAACTCCACAATCAAACAAACCAAACATATCCAAATCTACGGTTAGGACGGCGACGAAGGTGATGGTGTGTTAATTCGGAGGAAAAGGGTGAGGTTTTGGTGATGATGGACAGGGGTGTTGTTGGTGGCATTGGGGAAGGTCACCGGCTCCAGGAAATGGCCAAATCAACATGAAAATATGGGGTTTAAAGAATAATTTTTAAGGCTAGTTTGGCAATAAGAGTATTTATACTGTTATTTAATAAAAAAATCATAAATGGTGATAATTTAAGGATAGTAATTTGGAATTTATAAAAGCAATTGTGGGAACCTCGAGTTTAGCTAAACTTTGGGTGGGAATAAGTAGTCACTCTTCTTTAAAAAAAAAAAAAAAAAAAAAAAAAAAAAAAAAAAAAAAAAAAAAAAAAAAAAAAAAGAGTATACTTTTTGTCTTTGCTATATAACATCAAATGTAAACCCCAAGGGTTTATACATCGCCAAGAAAATTTGTTCCATTTATTAATTTTTTAGGTTCAAACCATCTTGAATCCCATAAATACCTTGGTGTATAATAAGGCTGAACGACTTGTGCATACCCAAGTTTACCGTAACGACAAGTTGGTACCTAAAAGGTTTTGAAACGACAAATAGGTACCTTCCGGTATATTCTTTTAGTGATTTTTGTTTATAATAGGGAAAAGACTAAAATGCCCTTCAAAGTTTAAATTTTTTTTTATAAATTTAAAAATTTCTAAAAAAACCCCTAGGTTTGCTAATTTAATTAAACACCATATATAAAAAGTTTGTTAAATAACAAAAACACCCCCACCACCCCGTGCCAGATTCCGGCCACCATCGCCGGGATCTGGCCGGAAAACTGCATTACGACACAGATCCGTCGGATTGTGTCGTAACGTGCCGATCTGGCCTTTTCCGGTCAGATCCGCCACGGATCTGGTCGGAAAAGGCAAGATCTGGGTCGAAGCAGCAGCCAGATCTGGCCTTTTTCGGCCAGATCGTGGCTGATCTGGCCGGAAAAGGCCAGATCTACTGCCAGATCTGGCCTTCGAATCCGCATATGGAGTTTTGCGGCGTCGACGGCCAGATCTAGCGTAGATCTGGCCTTTTCCGGCCAGATCAGCCACGAGATGGCCGAAAAAAGGCCAGACGATGCGTTACGACACAGATCCGACGGGTCTGTATAGTAACGCAACTTTTCGGCAGATTCCGGCGGTGGTGGCGGAATCTGGCACTTGCGGGTGGGGAGTGTTTTTTTTATTTTATAAAATTTTATATATTGGGGTATTTAGTGAAAATTGTAAACTTAGGGGTTTTTTGAAAATTTAAATTTTAAAAAAACTAAAATTCAAACTTTTAAGGGCATTTTAGTCTTTTCATATATAATAAAACAGTAATAAACAGAAATCACTAACAGAACATGACGGAAAGTACCTATTTATCATTTCAAAACTTTTGGGTACCAACTTGTCGTTACGATGAATCTTGGGTATGTATAAGTCGTTCTCCCGTAAAATAATAATAATAATAAACATTACATGTATCGGTATTGTCTAATAAGCCTCACTCAAGGCACATTTGTTTGCTGGCATTGTGTCGATCAACAGTATAAGACAATATTAAAATGTGTTTGGTAAAAACTAAAAGCATTTAAAAGGAATTCTAGAATAACCTCTCTTTCATAACCTATTTTATGAATGATTTTAAAAGTAGGTATTTCTAACTATTGATTCAAAATCAGCTTTTAGAAAAACAATTATCAAAATATCCTAAGATTAAACTAAATTTTGATTTTATAAATTATAAAAATTCTAAATAAAAATTTAAATTGGATTGATAAAATAGAAAAATATTAAAAACGAAAATGCATAAATTAGTCAATGAGTTACATTGCCAACATCAGGACGACCCAGAAATTTTTGTTAGAGTGAAATAAAATAAAAATTAATTATATATAATATTTTATTTATTATTTTTTTTTTTTTAAATTTGAGGATGAGCCCTGGCCCACATTCAAAATAGAGTAGCATCCGACCCCTAGCCGGCACCATTAAGGTTGCCTACTGGCAATTTACGCAGTTTGTGCCAAAGGTTTGTTGAAACATGGTGGCATTGAACCGTAGAAATCTGGTCAATTTTTAATCAAACTTTTTTGGCTTTTTGAAATTTAAAACCACGTGATTTCTACAAACCGTGGGCACCACTGCGTAGAGCGGCGGTTGGTGAACCTACCGGCATAACCAGCCGACCACCGTCAACTAGTTTTCAAATTTCAATCTTTTTTATTTAAGAAATTAATTTTAATAATAATAAAAAACTAATTCAAACTATACTCTTCCAGTCTTTTTACATGGTTATATATTCTCTTAAGAATAAAAGTAATTTTAAAATTAAGAAAAACAGACACCCTAATAGATTAGTTTTAAAGTTGATTATTTCAAAAGTAGGTCCATAAGTGATTATGGGACAAACTATAACAATCCCAAACTAAACCATAGTCGAATTTTATTTTCAATTAATTTGCCTCACTTTTAGGGGGCATTTGGTGGAGGGTTATTTAGGATTACTGGAGTTATATCTTATATTACTTAATTATCATGTTTGGTTGTCAAGTAATATAAGATTTTGGTAATCTTCAAATACCAATAGTAGTTACTGTTGGTAATATAGAAGGTAATCTAGTTACTTCAATTTTCTTAGGTATTGTAAGATTATCAAGATAATTTTTTTTTTTTTTTTTTGTTACAATTCTATTCATTATTAATAAAATTTTAAAACAATAATACCCTCATTTGTAAATTAATTTACATGAATATGACTTTTACTATCACCCTAATCAATTAATCTTTTGAACAAAATTACCATTAAATTCAAAACAAATTACAACTTACCCAAGCCACCACCCCCACCCACTTGCCGCGATCGATTGCCGGCAACCACCGCCGCCCCAAAACGGCGCATGAAAGGCTGAAACTGACCGTTGTGCGTCGATATAGCCATTTCCAGCCAGAGATCTGGTCAGAAAACGACCAAATCTAATCTGATCATTTTCGACTAGATCTCTGACCGTTAACGGTTATGTCGACCTGTTTATTAAGGCTTGTTTCTCAAAACATTCGCGCTGGCTGCATGAGAACTTTCGTCTCCGCCAGGCTTGAGAGCTTCTGCTGCTTTTATCCTTCCTTGGATGTCTGAGACCTTTATTTATTAATTAGTTTTGATTTTATTTTAAAATGTTCATGGTGTTTTTTATATAAAGCTTTCATGAAAAAGGGTTTTACAATACACCTTTTTTCACCCATAATTTCATCGATGGTGGTACTTATAAACTGCCTATCTGCAGCTTCCAAATGGGATTGAAGATACAACGACGTCCTGAGATTTTGATACTTGTATCTCTATTGTTAGTATAATGTTACAGAGATGAAGGGAAAGAATTTCAATGACTTCCAAAAATTTAATTCAATTGACGAGAGGCTTTATGGAAAAATTTATTTAGGCCGAAGCACCAGTACCTAATTCTAAAGGAGAACAAAAATAAAAATACACAGCTGTTATATTTAGGCTCTATATTTTTAAATAGGGTCAAAATTCTGCGTATTCATCTCGCATCTTCAATCCAGCCTCTATAATATGATACCTAAATCGAATTTTGCTTACATTATGAGCTCTTTTTTGTCTTCTCAAATTTATATAATTCTGGGTAGGTAAGTTTGAAGATTTGTCCCATTGATGTCGTGGATAGATGATGGCCATAAACGTCGTATCCAATTCACGCCACAAATGCTAAACCCTCCCAAGAAATAACGCTTAGACAAATCTAGCTTGAAAAGTCCAGACTCAAGCAACAATTTTCTTCTTCTCTACGTTTCCTTTTATGCATCTATAAATAGATTCTCGCCGTTGGTAGAAATTAGCCAGCTAGATTCATCAACATGGGTCTGGTTTTAGGGAAAATCAGCGTTGAAACCCCAAAATTCGAAGTGATTCAATCTACTTCAGATTACGAAATCCGCAAATGTGCACCCTCGGTTGTGGCCCAAGTCACATACGAGGCATCTCAATTCAAAGGGCAAGAAAGATGGGGGCTTTTCAGTGTTGGCTAATTAATTACATTGGAGCTTTAGGCAATCCGCAGAACACTACGCACGAAATGATTGCTATGACAGCTCCAGTCATTACTAAATGAGAAAAGAAAATGAGATATACTAACACATTTACCCAAAAACGGAACCCTGTCCATCTTCTAAACCTTCCAATATCACTACCTTCAGAGATTGCCAAACCAATCCCAGTTCTCCCTCCGTTTCCATGACCTCTGTAATACTATCTCCATCCATTTGCACTAAACAAGGTGACTCGACTCCTTCATTATCCCATCTTTAGCTTCAACCTTAAGCACTGCCACATCTTTAAGCGTCCTCCAACCTTCATTATCAGAATTCAGAAGTGGACTGTTGTTGGGAGTTGTATTTTATCTCCACTTGTGCAAGAGTTGGTTCCAAATGTATAAAGTATAAACTACTCAAAAAGAAATGAATTATGTTTTATGCCATACTTTAATTTGATCTTATCAGAAATTAACGGTCCAATTGTTATTTCAGATTTGAGGTTAGCTGTTTAGTAATAATGGCCTAATAGCCTCTTCCTAGCTTGGAGGGAAAACCAGAACAGGTTGTGACTTTTCTTTTTCGTAAACTATCAGACAGGATTTCTAACTTCTTTAGAAACATAAACACCGATAGTGCAATGTTACCTGCATCTTTGTTCTGTAGTTCCAAATAAAATAAACATAAACAGCGAAAGTGAAAGCATGATAAGACAATTCAATAGCGATTATAACTTGTTTTAGTATAATAAATAGATAAAAACTGGATATTTGCCACATCTGGCCATTAGCTATTGATCAGATCTAATTGTTATTATCGACCCACAAAATTACAGGATCATTACCAACAACCAAAGTATATGGCCTATAAATTTCCATTTGAAGTTGACTTTTACTATTAGCTTTGATTTCTATTTTCTTTCTTGATAGAAATTAGTTATTGGTCCAAAAATAATTCGCTACTAGACTTTAAAAGGAAAAAAAAAGAAAAAAAATCAGCATGTCAGACATCAGTAGAAGAAAATTATCATATAATCCCGTCAATCAAAGATCATAAACTGATCATAAACTAGAAAATGTTAATTCACAGGATAAAAATATCTGAGAATAGGCAAATATCAACCTTCTTATGAATTATATTTTTATCTCCATACCTCAGAGGGACGAAATGAAGTTCTCTAAATTGATCAACTGTCATGCCTTAGAGTATACATTACCAGCCACCCGCTTTCCTTCTGTCTTCCGTTTCCGCTGCCTTCTCCTCTTTCAGCATTTGCACCATTTTGAGTACACTGGGATTAAAGAAACGATCACGAACATACTTCCTCTCCCCTGCTTGTATCTCCTTAATAGCACTAGGATATGGGTTTGGAGGAGGCCTCTTCCCCTGAAGACGTGCAATTTGTTTCAATCGAGCGTATGCCTTCTTTTTCTCTTTCTTCTCTGCCCGATATTCCATCTACAAAGATATAACAATTGTATGCTAACAATCGGGGAAAATAAAACACAGACTTTTTACATTTTCTCTAACCATTAATTCATCCGAAATCAAGGAACACTAACAATACTTAGAACGAAGAGAAAGAGAAAAAGAGAGAACTAGTTAAGCAGAAAATTGCAGAAAACATACATCAGCCACAGCCATAGCTTCCTCTTCACTAACTCCATTCTCCTTCAACTCAAGCACCCGCAAACCAAATATACGAGCTGGAACAGGTTCAAAACCACAAATCCTACCAGAAACATAAAGCATAAATTAGTCCAGTTATCAATGAAATTGATGAATACCACTTTCAAAACTACTGCAAACACACAATCACCAGTAACTCACAACAATCACAACCACACCAGGAATCCAACAACAACCAAAACTAGACAACAACTAAAGAATCAGTAAAAGAATGAGAGAAAACAGACAAAGAGTACAAACGGTACTCATAGAATATTCAAGAAACTAGCTGGTCTTCAAGGGCCAGCACCTCCCAAGACAATCCTCACTCAATTTCAAGATATCCCTCACTCTTCTCATGTCCCCCTTTTATTCCTGACTCTCTAGATTCTGACCAACTACTCACACCCTTCATGCCTCATGCCACCTGTCAACTCTACCAATTACCCTTTTGCCCACACTTAGTCCTTCGTTTGTACCACTTAGTCACCCTCGGTCCATCAAAAATTCACTCCGTAAACAAAGCAAGCCTCAGCTTCCAAAGAAGACTAACAGATATTCAACAACCAAGAAAGGAAAAGGCTAGCCCAAAAAAAAAAAAAAAAAAAAAAAAAAAAAAAAAAAAAAAAAAAAAAAAAAAGAGAGAGAGAGAAAAGAAAAGAAAGAAACACAATATTAAAATAACATTGTAAGAAAACAACTTTTAATGAGCAATAATGCCCTCTAATTCAAAAAAGCAAAACTCTTATATCACCTAAATGCACAAGCAACTGGCGCATGAACTTCATCCTTGAACTACCTCTATAAGATAGCTAGAGAATCAATATTTTGTAAAGCCATGGTTCATAAAATTATCACTTCTCGATTAACTGATCTAAGTTAAGCCCAAGAATCAAATAAACTATTAAATAAAAAATAAAAAAAGCTCATGAAAAGTCTCACTCATATGAACAGCATACCACCACTCTGTTATCCACTCCCACTAGCAGTAAATACATACACCACAACCCATTAGAATTCTCACAATCCTAAAATTTCGAGATCATGCAACTACTCTGCAAGTACCACATATCAGTAAAAACATGCAAACACAAACCCTTAAAACAGATCAAAATAAATCTTGCAATCTCAGTACAATTACTAAACACTAAATAGCGATTGAGTTGAAAAGATATGCATACTTGATGGCATCTTGTTGTTTGGAATCAGGATGCTTCTGAAAGAACTTCTTTATATAAACATCCTCAGGAAGATTAATCTTCTGAACTTTCCCGTCACCTCTTGGGAAAGTTGCAGGAGGAGCCCTAAGCATTAAAATCAACCATAAACTAATTCAAAATCCCAAATCTCATTTAGTATAAATAATTAAAAAAAAAAAATCCATGAAATAGTACACCGATGGCAATCAATATTTTCTAAATCAAGAAATAGAAAGAAAGAGACTTACTGTTCCATGGCTTTGAGCCAAACAGGCTCGGCCTTGGCCAAGCCCTTGACGAGCCTTCTGGTTGTAGTTAGCAAATCTCCTTTCATTAACGGCATTATGCCTCTGATATGCGTCGATTCTCTTCGCCTGATGTCTTTCTAGTTCATTGATTGGGGTATCGCAGAGCTTGCCAGTGACCCAAAACGATGCTGTTTAAGGAACCTAAAAGTACTGGGCTTTAAGCCCACTCCATTAAATTGCAGCCCCAAGTCCCCGGAAATCACTAATAAAAGTTAAAAAAAATACATAATCCACTATTAATAATTTAATATTCTCGTAGATTCATAAATGATAATGCATTGCTTATACGAGTGATCCTTCTGGTGCTTCAAGACGAGTTTATAAGGGAAAAATAAAAAGAAACCTTCTGGTGCTTCAGAAGCTCATTGTTAATACTGTTTCTCTCAAAATTTCATAAAGCAGAGACATCAGTACATTCTCTATTTTACCCATAATTGGCAATGTCCAGATAAAAGAATAAACAGAACAACTTTATACAGAAAACCAGCAGATGTCTTTTGGACTTAAGTTCCACATACCTTTATCAATTAGCATACTGATGCAACAAAGAAAAAAAACCTAAACATAATTGCATATGGAACAGAAGTTCTTCTATTCAACAACACAAAAGCATAGAATTTGAACTACAGAGTCCTTAACTGCTAGTAGCAAACAATTTGAACTCTATGTATAAAATAAAGCCACCAAATCTGAAGATTGTATGCTAATCCAATTTGTGTGATGAGAATCCAAACCCATTGTGTTTTTTAAACAAACAAGAGTATTCATTGAAGATTCAAGAAGCTCAAGCTTTACAAGGAGGACAACATTTAGCCCAAGCATTCAAAGAAGCTCACAAACTTATCCACGATGTGTTAAAGGTTCAAGACATGGCACAAGTCTTTTTGTGTAGCCCAACCCGTGAAGATCAAGTGGGAAGAAGTTTAATTGGTTCAAGTCCAATGTGTAGATGCTATTTGATTCAATTTGGTGAAGGAAAATTAAGTAAAATGCAATTAGGGATATAGATCCTTAATTTAAAGAGTGGTTGTCTTTTGCATTAAATGGGTATGGTTTGCATTTTGTAAATGAATGTTGGAGAATTAGTCCTTAATATTTTTGTGTAAGGTTATGTAATATTAATTAAGGCAATTCTCAACTTTGTAAAGCCTATATAAAGACCACTCTTTCATAATATAAACTAGACAATGAATATTGATGAATAGCGTTTCCATGGAGAATTGTGTTTCTCTTCTTTGAATTCTTTTACCCAAGTTTTGGCCAAGCTTGGTGGTGGATTGATCTTCAAGCCGGTGGAATGTCCTTTAAGCTTGAATGATCCTTGACCATCTACCTTGTAAGTTATTCTCATTTGTTTAACATCCCTCTCACTTTTCGAGTTTAGCTTGTTTTGTTGTGTTCCAGATTTGAGTTATGTATTTCAAGTGGAATGAGTTTGTGTTAATTGAAGCTAGATAAAAGGTGTTGTTCTAAAGTGATATAAGGGTTGTGTGTGCTTGTGGAGTGTTGGCCGAATCGTGTTAGGGTGTTGCAAGTGAATCAAAGCTTAGGTTGAGTTGAAATTGATTGAAATAAGGTGATGTATGAATTAGGTTGCATGAATTCTTATCAGTGTGTGTGTGTATGTTACTTGAGCAAAATGTGGAGTGGTGTTTGTGGTCTAGAGATTGCAGATGCAATGACGGTGGAGATTGCAGCTCTGGAGATTGGAAAAGCGGTGACAGTAGAGTCAAGAGAAGCGACGACAGTGGATTTGTGTTTGTGGCTCTGGAGATTGGAGATGCGACGATCGTGGAGACTACAGACGTGGCTCTAGAGAGTGGAGACTGGAGAAGCAATGATAGTGGAGTTGCGTGAGTGAGTATGAGAGACGAGATGAGTTAGGGATTTCAAATTTCAATTTTAGGAGATTAGGGCTTTTTTTTTTTTTTTTTTTAAACAAACATTATTTTTTATCCGGATACAGGTGCGGGTCCAAAAAAGGGGCTAATGTAATGGATTTATACCCTATATTGATTATCCGGATATAGGCTGAATTGTGGGTTCGGACCCGTTTTGCCATGTTTAGCGTTAAGCCGTAGGAATCCGCTAAATTTTTTGTCAAACTTTTTCAGCTTTTTGCGATTTAAAATCGCCTGATTTCGACAAAGCGTTGGCACCATTGCATAGAGCTGCGGTCGACGAACCTACCGGTAGAACCAACCGACTACCACTAGGTAGTTTTCATTTTTTTTAAAATTTTTTTATTTAAGAAATTAATTTTAATAATAAAAAAAAAAACTAATTCAAACTATACTCATTTTAGTCTTTTTGTATGGTTCATATATTCTCTTAAAAATAAAAGTAATTTTAAAATTAAGAAAAAAAAAACATTCTAATGGATTATATTTAAAATTAATTATTTCAAAAGTAGGCCTATAAGTGATTATGAGACAAGCTAAAACAATCACAAATTAAGTCACAGTCATATTTATATTCAATTAATTTGCTTCACTTTTAGTAATTTCACAAATAATGAAATTCAAATGATCAACATAATAATTTATTTCTACTAAATTGCACCAAATAAATAAGTTCGTAACTTGATTCTTCAGATAATAATAATTACTCTGATTTTTTTACCTTAATGTGAATATGTGAATTATTTTTTCGTAATATTAATTGGTTTAAGATTTAAAAACTAAGAAATAAAGGATCAGCTATTTTTGGGCTGGGCCTTCGGGTTATCCATAAGGCTTGGGTTACCAAACGGGCCCGACGCCATTCATAGGTCCTTACAGAGTTAGGGTTTAGCTCATCGCCCTTATAAATTCTTTTAAGAACAGCGATAGCATTTCCAATTTACTCTACGAGATGTTAGATTCATTTGTGATTTAGTCTTTTTTTTTTTTTTTTTTTTTTTGTAATTCGTGGTGATAATTTTTGTTTATGAGCATCTGTGATGAGCCGATAATAAAATTGTTATCCTTGCACTTTGATTGCCAGTGAAGAAACCAACGGGGAATTTTTTTCTCTGAGATGCTCTCTGTTTCATTGATTTTTTTTTTTTTTTTTGTTTAATTAATTATTCGGATCAATGATGTTACTGATATACTGCGTTATCTATCTGCAACTTCCTAAAAGGATTTGAAGATAAATATATACGCTGAGATCATCATCAACGTTTTCTTTTTATGACTTTTGAGTGTTGTTTGTTTGACTTTGAAGCGTGGATTATAGTCGGTCAATGATGAACCTTTAAGGCTTGTTTCTCAAAACATTCGCAGTGGCCGCCTGAGAGCTCTCGCCTTCGCCAGGCTTGAGAACTTCTGCTGCTTTTATCCTTCCTTGGATTTCTGAGACCTTTATTTATTAATTGGTTTTGATTTTAATTTAAAATGTTCATGGTTCTTTATATAAAGCTTTATGGAAAAGGGTTTTACAGTCCTCCTTTTTCACCCATAATTTCATCGATGGTGGTACTTATAACTGTCTATCTGCAGCTTCCAAATGGGATTGAAGATACCACAACATCCTGAGATTTTAAACATTTATATCTCTATTGTTTTTATAATGTTTACAGAGATTTATGAAAGAATTTCAATGAGTTTCGAAAATTTAATTCAATGGACGAGAGGCTTTATGGAAAAATTATTTAGGCCGAAGCATCAGTACTAAATTCTAATGAGAACAACAGAAAAAAAAAAGAAAAAGAAAGAAAGACTATATTTTGAAGTTGTAAAATTCTGGGTATTCATCTCGCATCTACAATCCAGCCTCGATTATATGATACCTACAGCGAATTTTGCTGACATATTATGAGTTCATTTTTCTCAATTTATAGCTAAATTCTCTAATTTGAAGATCCTAAGTAAGGTAGTTTAAAGATTGTCCCTTGATGTCGTGGATAGATGATGGCCACAAACGTCGTCTCCAATTCACCACAAATCAAAACCTCTGCTCACCTCCTTCCCAAAATAACGTTTAGACAAATCTAGCCTGATAAGTCCAGATTCAAGCGGCAGTTCTCTTCTTCACTACGTTTTCCTTTATGCTTCTATAAATAGATTCTCACCATTGGTAGAATTAGCCACCTTTCAGTCTTTACCAAGACCACTAGATTCATCAACATGGGTATGGTTTTTGGGAAAATCAGCGTCGAAACCCCAAAATTCGAAGTGTTCACATCTACTTCAGATTACGAAATCCGCAAATATCACCCTCGTTGTGGCCCAAGTCACATACGAGCCATCTCAATTCAAGGGCAACAAAGATGGGGGCTTTTCAGTGTTGGCTAATTACATTGGACCTTAGCAATCCGCAGAACACTAAGCCTGAAAAGATTGTATGACAGCTCCAGTCATTACTAAATCAGAAAAGATTGCCATGACAGCCCTGTGGTGACAACGGGGTGGAATAGAGACGAAGATGGTGCCCATGCAGTTTTATTGCCGGACAAGTATACGAAGCAGAGGAGGCGCCGCAGCCAGTGGTAAGAGGGGGTGATAAGGGAGGAGGGGGAGAGAAAGTATCGGTGGTGAGTTTGGAGAGTGGCAACAGATGATGTGGTGGAAGAGAAAGTGGATATCTGAAGAAGAGTTTGGGAGAGGAGGGGTTTAAAATCACTGGGGAGTTCTTGCTGGCTAGGTATAATCCACCTTGGACTTTGCCCTCTTTCAGGACTAATGAGGTTATGATTCCAGTTGAATGAACAATTTGCAGAGGACAGGCTGTAATGTTCTATGTGAGTTCTGATGAAGTATGTTTTTAAACAAATTGAATAAACTATCCAGCTCTTGTTTTATGCATTAAACTGTCATTTTCTTTAATTTTCCAGATGTGTAACAGGGCAAATGAATCAATGTAAATATTTCACATTTGTGTATGTTTGCGTAGTTTCTTCTTGGTCAATTTGTATGCTTCGGCTGCAAGTGAAAACCTAATAAATATATCGCACAAAACTGTTTAATTTGAACATTTCCTGAAAAAATTTTATGCATTTTCATATCACATATGTTCAACATGACCCTACTCATGCAAACCTCAATCCCCACAAAGTATAGCAAATTAGGAACAAGAAAACTATAATTTAATCAATTCGAACGAAGTCTGCAGACATTCTATTCCCTTTCTAACCACAATTTAGTTCCACATGAAAATTATTTAACGAAATGATTTTTTTATCTTCTAAGTTCAGTAACTCATCAAAATCACACACTATCTGTCGAATTTGTTTCGATCCTCAAGAAAAGGATATAAATTTTCACAATCTACTGCGTTAATCACAAGCCACAAATCTCAGTTCACTCTTCAACCTTAACCAGAGACAGCTTCACTACGATAACGATGATATTCAAAGTATAAGTGGCAATCTCATGAACTGGCATGCATGTATAAGCCCAATGACTTGACCCTTGAATGAATTTCTTCTTCCAGCTTGGAGTTCCGCCAAGGTCCACCCTCTTGGAGCAAGGAACCGGTCCTCATTCAGAATTGCCAGGTCATTAGCAAAGAGCAGAAAACCTTCCAGCAAAGTCCAGAAACCCATCTTCTACCGAAAAATAAATTGAATATCTCAATTCCAGGACAACACAATAAGGTCAAAATCAACAGAAGTCTCCAGTTTAAAACTCGATGGAACTTCAATGACAAAAAAAGTTAAAAAAAAATTATTCTTCCATCACAATTCAATTAACAAACAAGGCAATCATTAGAACATTTTCCAAAATCTGATTTCGTAGATATCATCTAATCTTTATTTAATCTACTGAACTCCCAACAAAGAAATGTTTTTAGTATATATCAGCTTGCCAGAAGAGTAGAAGTTCTTCAAACATAACACAAATTATCAGGCGAAACCATTAAAACTTCACAAACAGAATTTTAAGGTTCAGGGATTTGAGAATGATTAGCAAACAAAGCAATACAATTAAATTAAAAAATCTGGAATTATGGTTTCAATAACAACAATTCAATAACATCAAGACTGAGCCGTTCAGACTACTTCCCAAAAGAAAAAACAACGATCAGATGATAAAGAATTCTCACCAGCCACAATTACAGACGAAGAAGAGAACTACTTCCTGTCAACAGATAATGAGTTGAGAGTTCAACCCTTCTGATTTTTTATAAGAACATGCAAAACAAAACCACCTCATGAAGCAAAACGATTCGCAATATCATGAGGTCATGACTCAAATATTCATAATCCAACGGCTAAATACGTTCTCGGTCATGCAAGCAGAGAGCTACTGGCCGTTGGATTATAAAACAGAGAAACAGTCAGTCGATAAGACAATGTGACCGGCCCGATTTTCAGGCCCGAAAATACAACCTGATAAATTTTGAAACACAAGGAAGAAAACCCTGATAAACCCTAACACAATGGCGACATTCTTCTTCTTCCTTATCTTCAATACTCTCACTCTCTCACTCATTACTTCTAACCCCTAACAAAAAGATAAGTCAATTTCTAGAAAAATCTCGAAATCCAAATGCATTTAAACGAAATTTGAATCCTCGTATATTACTGAACCCGCCAAAAGCATCCAATTTGGAAGATGATAACACCAATGGAGCTGTTGAAATTGAATCTCCGAAACCAAGTCGACGTGGACGTAAAGAGCCATGTCATCTCCTTCGACAAAGAACACCAGGCGTTGCGAAAAAGCGAAGACGAAAACGGCGCGGTTGAGGCTAAAGAGACTGTCACAATGGATTTCGAGCGAAGACTTAGGAGATTACGATGATGGCATGGACTTTCTGTACGATGATCCTCCTTTAATCTGCTGCTTCGGCGCTGTACAAGAAGGAGTTTGTGCCTACGGTGAGAGTGCACGACAACCAATGCACCGGACTTTACTCCACGTGGAAGATGCTACAATGGGACCCGCCGGATTTGTTAGGGCCCCGGGTGGACCACCGTCCAACGTGGCGATACTCACGTGCGTTTGGGCGGGAGAGCGGCTTTTATGGGGAAGTTGGGGCGGAGATTTCGGGATGAGTTGGTTTTGATGATGAATAAAGAGAGGGTGCAGACACGCGCCGTGAAGTTTGATGAGAGTGAAGGACTTGGTACGTATATGAAGATTAAATTGAGAATGGGAAGATGAGGACTGAGATTGTTAAAGCCGCAGCTGAGGATTCACTTCTAGCTCTGAGTTGAACTTGGCTGTCCTCAAAGAGGTAAAAAAGTTTAGAAATTCAATTGAGGTTTAAGTTTTTAGATTAACAGCATTTAAAAAAAAGGATTCAAATTCATTTATGTATATTCAAAGATTTCTTCTAATTTACCACGCTATTTGAACAAAATAAAGAGATAATTTGCTCTTATTCACCCAATGTAAGATAAGTCCAGCAGAGTGAATATTATTTCAATCTTTTCTCATCTCTCTTGTTTTACAATTAAGTTTGCTATCACTTATTCAAGAGAAAGTGTGTTAATACTAGTTTAAGAGACTAATCCTACTTTTACAAGATTTCTATCCTAAGCCCAAACCCAGTAAGAAATTAATACTTAAAGAAATTCTTTGCGTTATACATAGAAAGCCCAAACCGCCACAGGATTGGGGCGCTGCCCTTAGGACCCCGCCCACTGACCAGGCAGTGGAACCCACCCCTGAATGCGTCGCGTAACTCATCAATGCTGAAGTGTCGACAACTCCAACAGGTTACAACAATGTTTTAGGTTACTATAGTTTCATAAAAAGGAAACTGAAAATATTGGTCGGTATTATACTGTTAGAAAGCCCTGTATTCAATGCCTACCATTATTCTTGGTTAATTTCGTGATCAGAGGAGAAAAAGATGTAGAATGGTAGGAGCAGTCTGGTAATTGTATTGTATGGTAAATTTTGGAAACAATATTGAGATGAACTGTTGATTGACGGATTTGGAATGTTTGTTATATAATGTACTGCAGGCTAGAATTTCCACTTTACTTCTGAAGTTCTGACCTCCCCGATCATGGAGGCAACACTTTTTAAGGCAATTGCTTGTCTAAGAAGTTTGGGGGGCTTATATTTTTTGACTTGAATTTGCCATTGCCTTTGTGGAGATCACGTGATGAGACACGAGAATGATCAAGAAAGCCTGGAATGAAGCTGACATTATTGAGATTCAAGGCAAGAGCTGGAGTTTCTTTTGATGAAGAGTATTATGAAAGGAAAAGAATTACAGGCCACAAATATATGCTGAAAATTATGAACAAACGAAGCACAGGCGGCGGGATTATTATCATTATACCCCTGAGAAACTTCTCCATTATGGCACGATAGACTTAAATTTTTGTTTGTGACTGATGGAACGCTTAGGATTCATTACTATCCCCTTCTTTGATGGTGTGGTGGTCGGAACTGAAAGTGTGCTCATAACGCCGTCACTTGTGATAGGACTGGTTCGGGTATGCAGTAGTTGCTGTGTTCTGAGAAAGCTGACTACTTACCCTGAGATGTTTAAAGATCAAGATGTTTTGGAGAGGCAGCTTCGCTTTGCAATTGCCTCAGGGATTTTGCACAGTGGACGATTGGTGGGGTGAGAGGTTTTCCCCCTGAAAGTGCAACTCAAAATCTGAAAGAACAGGTCTATGTCCCTTCAATGTGGTAGTTGAGAGCCAAAGATAACACGTTGCGAGGATGCAATATGCTAGTTCCCAGGCAGACTACGAAAATTCATATCTGATTAGGAAGAGTGAGATTCCATGTTGTAGAAAGGCTGCATCAAATGGTACGTTACGAACTCTGTTGAGTTCCATCCACTCTTGAGGTACTATTTGATAAGTTAGCTTTGATGTTATATAAGTTTTGTAGGCCAGGAATGGTTTGTACACTATCATTTTGTAATTGAAATTTATTATTATGTCTGACCAATTCCAATTCTCAATCTCTATCTCTCTGTGTCTCCAATGTATCTTTTCAGTCAGATTTTCCAGTCGTTTAACCCAGGAAATTTGTTTCGAATTCTATCTTGTAAGAGTGACAAAATTTTAGCCGAACTGCCTCCATATGATTGTGATAAGCCACTGGGAAGAACTTCTCTTTGTCGGCCCTTTTGTGCCTGCCAATTTGCATGCATTCTCACAACGAACAATGCATGATTCTTCGGGCATTCCTGGTGTAGGAATTTTTTTTTTTTTTTTTCCTAAGTCTGTTTGATACAACTGGATTTCTTAAGTAGTTTTCGCTGTCTATCAATGAATTTTCTCAACGAGTGAATTCTTGCATATGCTGGATTTTCAGCTCCTATTATCAATACTTCAATCGTTAAGGAAAATCGTATGGCCTAATTACCTACAGATTTAAGGAAGAAAGTGATTCCTACCGACGGATTTTGCTCAGTATGGAAACCAGTAGACCTGATTTAGTTTTAAGGAATATTGAATTACTGGAAAGTTAGACTACCTTGAAAATTACTGAGAATCTTTAGGAAAATGTGTTTAGTTAATTGGTGGGTATGTTAGATTAATATATTTGGTTGGAAGGAATAAATTGGTGGGTATGTTATTTAAATTATTGAATTGTCCTCTAATTAAATATTATTATTATATTATTTTTTAATATTGATTATTATTTGGATTATTATAACCCTTTTTCATTTAAAAACTTAGCAAAAACAAACTCATAATAAAAGTTTGAAAAATCAATAAAGCACTCTCACAAACCCAACCACTGCCTGCCGCGAGCAACCACCGTAGGCCGTCGGCAACCTAATAGTGCACGGAAGGTCGAAAATGGTTGTCGTGCATCGATATGGCCATTTTCGGCTAGATATCTGGCCGACGACGGTCAGATCGATGGCCGTTAATGGCTAGATCAATCGATCTAGCAGTCAACGGTCGTGGCCGTCAACAGCCATCGATCTGGCTGTTGACGGCCAGATATCTAGCCGGAAATGGCCATATCGATGCACGATGACCATTTTCAGCCTCCCGTGAGTCGTTCCAATGGCGGCGACGGTTGTCGACGGCAGGTGGGTGGGGGTGGTGGCTTGGGTGGGTTGCAATTTGTTTTGAATTCAAGGGTAATTTTATCAAAAAAGTTAATTAATTGGGGTGAAATAGTAAAACACATATTTATGTAAATAAATTTAAAAATAAGGACATTATTGTCCTAAATTTTTTTAATAAAGGATAAAATTGTAACAAAAAAAGATAACCCTGGTAATCTTAGAATGCCTAAGAAAATAGAGGTAATCAGATTACTTTCAATATTACCAATAGTAACCACTATTGGTATTTGAAGATTATCAGTATCTTATATTATTTGACAATTAAATATAATAATCAAATAATATAAGATGATTTAACCCCAATAATCCCACATAACCCTCAACTAAACGCCCTTTGAGTGTTAACCTAATTTTCCACCTTTGAATTTAGTGATATTCGACTTTATTCTGACGATTGTAGCTCTTGCTCTCCCGCTAAGATAGTAACATTAGTGGCGCATAAATGATGTTTGTTTGAAATTTGAATCGCTTCCACTATCTAATATTAACAAGACAAGTCCTTTTGGTGAGATAATGGCCTGCTTTTTCTTATTTTTGTCGTTAAACATTCATATGAAGTCTTCCATTAATGCGAAGATGGTCATAATTGTTGCCCGTTCTGGTTAGGCCTCTGTCCATTATCTATGTCCATTATCAATCTGTCTCTGTCAAGTGCCAAACGTCAAATACCAATAACTTTAATATTGATTCTTGCCTTGATGGGTTTGTTTTTGTGATAAGTATTGCCATTTGCCCAGATTTCAAATTTCAATCTATTTAGTTTTTAAATGTTAAAACTTATTTTGTTTCTTTAATTGAAGCGAAGATACCAAACTGCAAATGGGCAAATGATAAAAAATCAAAGAATATCTGGAGAAAAATATAATAATTTCTATTATGAACCATATCGAATGGTACATTTAAATTTGCCTAATTTGGTTGTACCAAATTAAGAAAAGAATAATAAATAAATGGAATGCTATAACTAACAGGGATTTTGTATCTCGTATGTTCTCCCTATTCCTCTGTAACTAATCTCTCTCAGATTTATACATGACCTTTTCTGCTTTCCTAATTGCAGGATTGGTCCTCTCTCCGTATAACAAAAACTAAAACTAGCATTCTCCGAATATGAGAAGTCTTAGAAACTTTCTGGACCCTGCTTGCGGCTGCTACATTCTCCGGCAAAATGCAAGTCAATTTCGAATTCTCCCATACTACCAGCCACCTACTAAGCAACGGATTTGTGTAATCCAAGTGTGAGCCACATTTATACTTGCCAAAAAACACTCTATTTTTGTGATGCAGCTCTTGCATTCAACATCTTCTCATGGTTCAGGCTGGTAATTTGTTCCCGAGTCCTGTTGCAGATACAACCAGGAAAAGGATTTGAATAGAAATTTTCCTCATGCCTGGGTGAGTCTCCCGGTTGTCTAGGGTACGGTGCTCCCAGCCTGTTTGAATGTAAACTTTTAACCATCAAAGAAAACTCTTGCCAAGTTATTTCACCCGCATCCAATTGATCTACAAGTGTAACAATATTTTGCCTGAAAAAATAAAACACAACAGTGGTCAGTACTTTAGGTTCCAATTTCCAAACAAACAAAAAAACACCCTTTAAAAGCTAAGAAAGATGATTAACCTGTCAGGGTTGATGGACTTTGAAAACCCTTCAAATCGCCTATGCCCCTGCACTGCCTTGGCCATATTTCCATCATATGTGTAAACTAAAACATCACTTTCAAGTGCCACAATATAATCCAAGGCAGCAAGGCGATTTTGATATGGTCTGAAGGGCTCCAACTCTTCTTCAGTGGCCAGAGTGGAATGAGTAAAGACATTTGGGAACTCTGAACGGAAGGCTTCCATGCTATTCTTACCATAAATTTCCCCTGCAACAATGTAAATGGTTGTGGTGGAAGGGTAACCCATGGCCTTGAGGAACAGAGCTGCTTCTCTGGGGGACATTGGGCATCCCCCTTGGAGTCGCCGTTTTACTCCATCTATCTCCTTCTCCTTCCAATGTTTAACAGTATACCTCATTAGCTTAAGTTCCTGAGCCTCTTCAGCAGTAAGATTGCCGCTGCAGCCAGTGAAGGCAAGCATGTCCTTCTCATATCTGCAATCAAATTATATCTACTTAGTTTGAGAACGTATCAACTGAGAAACTACTAAATGTGGTGCTTCAATAGTACCTTAAATGCAGAGCAATGAAGGGCGTGCTATTGTTCCTAAGTCTATCAAGCAAAACTTTTCCAAGGTCCTCAATGTCCTTGGAGTACCGGAGAGCCTCATAATTGGCACGGCACCTAAGCCTTTGGATGGAGGATGCAAGGCCATTGTTGGCAAGTCTTGAATCGGTGTGGGTAAATTTTACCACCTTATGCCGCTTTAATAATGGGACCATATGATTCCTGTAATAACTAGCCTGCAGATGGATTATCTTAGATACAATCCCAGAAACAGAGAAACAAAGAACAATATTTTTATGTATTCAAAGTTTGGACAGTATTTCCGGACCTTGGACCATGAAACGGGAGCCTTTACTAAGGGCTTCTTCCCAGCATAGCGTGATGGCAAATACTCCACTATATCAATATCATCTTTTAGAACTTTCATGAAATGTCTCCAGTCAAAAATATCTTTGAAATCACTGCAGATTAGAGATATTATAATGAGATGAAGAACCAATAACCAAAATGACCAAAAATGCAATTGAATTAAAATTAATACCTTGGGTCGGTCCAAAATGACTCATGGTCAAGAAAGGGAAGAACAAGAGTAGCATTCATTATTTTTGCAACAGCCACCATATCACATATCTGAATGTGTCAATTATCGTATTGAATTAGTGAGACAAAGTAAGAAAAGAAAAAGCATTTCTGGGAAAATATTGAGCTTTGTGAAAGAGCAAAAAAAAAAAAAAAATACCCCAGTTCTCATTTGATTCAATCCTCCATTAGCATGAACTAGAAGATAGCCATTTGTGTTCTTATTTGTCTCTACAAAGAAGTTCAAGTTTGAAACAGTCAGATGAAATCAAATTCAAGTGTGGAGATGATGATTATCATCAAGTTTAAAAGTAGAACAGCTCATACTTTTTTGATTCTTAGAGGGAGCTATGCATTGATAAAAATTATCGCTGTTGGGTTTCATCCAGATTTCCGGAGTCTAAAACACAATGAAAAAACAAACAAATTAGTCCACTAATAATAAAAATTAAAAACGATTTGGTTTTATTAGGATCAGATAAAAACAAAATATACTGAAAACTATGGTAGTAAAGCTCAAAGTTTCTGCTAACAACAAGAAGGACAGAAAATTCCAATAATAAACGTCAAAGGCAACTTTTTATGAATGTTCATAAATGTGAAATCAGCAGGGAAAAGGCATAAAGGAAAATGACGGCCATCTAAAAATCGTAAGCAAGCAGGCAGAAACAGTGACTTTTGTTCGGTCAAATGCCGCCCTCATAAAATTCAATGCGCCAGTTCCGGGCCACCCACTTCCTCCTTTGAGTCAAAACTCAAAAGTTTAACATAAACCATTAACAAATTTTCCAGAAACTCATCCCCATTTCCACATAAAAAACAAAAAAAATAAAAAAAAATGTAAAATCATTAAAAAAATAGAGTTAAATTTTGATTTTTTCTTTTTTTTTTTAAAAAAAGAAAGAAAGAAAAACACCCGTTTTTCCTCCGTTTTCTGGGCAACCAAACAAAAGATCAAAAATAAAAATTCCTGTTATACTTACAGATATCTTTTCCAGAACTCGCATGGGCATGGAGGGTTCATTATGTTCAGCAACAATATGCTGAGCGGAAGCCCAATCTTCTTTAATGGTTTGCAAGAAGACGTGGCCATTTTCTCCACTCTTGCCATTAATCTCGACGTAACTACTCAAAAACGAAACCTTAAAAACAACTGAAACCAAGGCCAACAACATAAATGCCCATACAATTTTCCGGGCCAAGCTCCGTCCGAATCTCAAACTCTGAAGCATCGTATCCGTCCAATGATGAATCCTATCCTCTATCTTAATCAGCCACGTCTCGGGCACCCACGAGAATATTTGTCTGCGTAAAGAACGATACTTAATCAATGGATGATGATGATGAGGATGATGGAAGTGGCTGTGATTGTGGACCCCAGCAAAAGAGCCGTTACAGTTGTCCTCTTCGTCCGATATGTAATATGAATACTCGGAAGAAAGCCTGTCGGCGTCAAACAATTCTGCCACGCGTCTTCTTGTCGCTTTGGGCCCACTACCTGGTTGTAATGGGCTACCGACGACGTTTGTTGTGTTGTTTATACCACCGGACGACATATCACATGGCCCGTTGCTGGACCAAAACAAAAAAAAAAAAAATTCTCAGCGATAAAAAATGGAACGAAAAACACTTTTCGTTTCGTCTTGTTTATTCGTTTTCTTCTTTTCCGAGAAAGTGAGGGAAATGGAGAGAAAGTGAAGGAAACGAAACGTGCAGTTTGGAGAGGGAGAGAAAGGGAGGGAACCGTCAGTTGGAAGTTTTTTTTTTTTTCTTCTTTTTGGTATTGGTTTATTTATGTTTTTGTGTATGAATCGTTGGAGCTGTGAGGGTCCGAAATGTAAGGGCGGTAGAGGCTTTGAATGAATTCGTCTTGGTTGAAGTTGACGGTGTTCAATTCCATATATAGTGTTCTACCATTAACTAACGTGGAAACTTCAAACTCATACTTTTATAACTTAGTGTTTTGATACTGGTTTTGTTAGTTACGGTCATTATTAACTTTATGGCTTTTACTAATTCTTTTGCTAATCTATAATTAATTACTAAATTAATTTATTCTACATGAGTGTTAGGTAAAGTAATGTAAACTACTCTCAAGTCGTAACTCTTACTTTATATAAACTCAATTATATTCTTTTTTATTAATAAAAAATATATATTCAAAACTCAATTCATTTATGGGGTAGGTACCCTTTAAATATTTTACCAAATATAGAGCATATAATTAAATTAAGTTTATTTAAACTTGAGTACTTAACCCCTACAAATTGACCTCAATTAATGTCATTTATGAACTTATTAACTGAATATTTGTAAATATAACTGAATTCTTTTACTTTCCGCGTACTGTAAGGAGGCGTTTGGTTCAGGAATGTTAGATTACTGAGAATGTTGGATTACTGAAAAGATAGATTATCTTGAAAGATTACTGGAAATCTTTAAGAAAATGTGTTTGGTCAGTTGGTAGGTATGTTATATTAATATGGTTGGTTATGGAAAATAAATTAGTGGGTATGTTATTTAAATTGTTAAATTGTCCCCTTTACAAATATTAATATAATATTATTTTTATTATTAATTTTTGAATAATTTCTTTTAACCCTCAATATTTCAGATTTAGTTAAAACACCCCTGCTTATATAAAACTTTAATTTATTATGAAATCACCCCCACCTCCTGTCGCCGCCTGCTGCCACCACAGACCACCACTGGAAGTCTCCAAAAGTCCCCAGCAGCAACTCACCGTGACTAAGAGGCTTCGATATGGCCGTTTCCGGCCATATTGATGGTCGAAAACGTCCATATCAGGCCAGATCTGGTCGGAAATGGCTAGATCTATTCTGGCCATTTCCAGCTAGATAGGTGGATCTGGCCGTTAATGGCCAGATCCCTGGCCATTATCGGGCAGATCTGGGCGAGATCTGGCCATTAACGGCCACGGACCCGTTCGGCTGCAATAGATCTGGTCGTTAACGGCCATATCTATTTTGGCTGGAATAGATCTGGCCGTTAACGGCCACAGACCTAGCCATTAACGTCCAGATCCATCGATCTTTTCCAGCCATATCGATGACTCCCGGAGCCTCCCACTCAAACTCGTTCTTCTTTAGGGACTCTGGCTAGTTTTCCGAGGTGGTCCGTGGTGGTTGGCCGCTGTAGGCGATGGTGGCTGGGTGGCAGTGGTGGTGGTGACTGAGTGGCAGTGGTCTGTAAATTGTTTTAAATACAAGGAAATTATTGTCCAAAATTTTAGTTAAACAAGGGTAAAATTGAAATAGGATATTAATGTAAATTTATTTTTAAATGAGGGCATTATTGTCCAAAATTTTCATTAATAAGGGATAAAATTGTAACAAAAAAAGATAACCTTGGTAATCTCAGATTACCTAAGAAAATTGAGGTAATCAGATTACCTCCAATATTACCAATAGTAATTACTATTGGTATTTGAAGATTACCGGAATCTTATATTACTTGACAACCAAACATGGTAATCAAGTAATATCAAATGACATTACCCCAATAATCTGACATTACCGCCAACCAAACGCCCTTAAGAGAATTGTCTTTTACATCAATGGCAAAATTGGAAGTAAGGTAAGGCATTGACAACCATCACTAGGTGACCCAATGGTCAATTAAAACTCTTAGGTGTATTACTCAAGAGATACTGAGTTCGATCTCCTTAAGTTGCTAATAGGAGTGACCATGGAGGAGATTTACCCGATTGTCAACTTCAGGGCTTCGAAAAATTTGTTGAAATACGCGTAAGCTGACCCGAACACTCCGATCACAAAAAAAAAATTAAATAAGCATTGCCAAAAAAAAAAAAAAAAAGGCGATAATTAATGAGACTTTAAGGAAGAAAAAAAAAGGGTTTTATGAGAAGGTTGAAATTAGCCAAGAAATTCATGTGATTAAATATAATTTCTTGTCGTGAAAGAGTAAACCAATAGTCACACATGAACCGTACCCATTAAAGTAATTATCTACTTTTTAAATAAACTTTTGTTTTATTATTTTTATACCACAAAACGACACTGCTTTGATCGTTTTATTTATCTCTACCCGCCACTATATATATTATTGACACGGTAGTCCGTACCTCTACGTATGTTGAAAAAGTCTTTGAGTCCCTTATGAATATAAAGATCTAGTCGGCGAATTATTTTAATTATTCCTTAATTCTGTTAGCCGTTAGATTTCGAAGGGTGTCCCCAGTGAGCTGTGGCAGAGCAATTATCACATGCATCGCGAGATGCATCAGTTGATGCGCCGACAATAAAAGTTTATGAATTATGATTGTTATTCGATTGCATTTCTTGATTAGTCAACACTTGGAGGGTATCAGGATGAGGAAGCAAGGTAATATCATAGATTGGGGAGGTTTGGGATTTGCTCAGATAGTGCGGTACCAATCACGTCATATGATAGAGTGACCACAACAGCATGATCATAAAATAAATAACTTAACGCGGAGAGATATATAAAAAAAAAAAAAAAGAGAGAATAATTTGGGTTTGCAGAGGTTAAAGTTGGCACGTTTTCTGATTTGTTTTTCTCTGGCGTGTGTTGCGGGTTATTTTGGTCCAATTTTTTTAAATAAAAAAAAAAAAAAAAACACAAAATATAGTGTATGACATATAAGAATTCTTGTATTCTAATGTATAAAATTTTCATTTAGAAAATATTTAATCGAAATTAATAAATGTGATTTGTATAGTTTTAATTAAATAGGTGCATGTAATAAAAATATTAGATCATATGCATGTAATAATAATGTCACGCCTTTATTTATTGAGGAAATAAAATACATAATTCTTGAAACGTATGTTAAAAGATCATACGATATATATATAAAATCAAGTTATGGGTAGCAGTCAAATGATTACAGCTATTGAATAATTAGGCACTAATTAGACCATAATAGACAAGGCAGAAAAATAAGCTAGTTGAAGTCTCAGTCAGCCCATAAATCTTATAGCTTAGTGGAGGACCTAGACCACCCCGTCTTGGAAGGAAGAAGAAGAAGAAGAAGACTGTAAAAGTTGGTTTCTGACAAAAGAATAAGATTAAATGCGTCCTTAATTTTGTGTGGTCGCATTCGCAGAGCCATTGCAGCCTTTCTTGTTGTCACGTCAAGAATCACATGAGTAAAGGATCCAATTAATTAGAGTATATGATTTTTGAAACTTTATATTAAAATTCATTAGAGGACATTGATGAAGATATGGTTTCGATTAACCCTTCAATTACTGTGACTTGGTTCTTTGATAATATATAAATAGAGTAAACGACTTTTTCCCACCCAAAGTTTAATATTCCATTAATATTCAAAGTATATTTCACTTTCTCAACCGATATTCAACGAATTAGCAGGAGCTAGGGTAGGAGGCGTTTTATAGAGTGGAGATCGATTGATCGAATGGTGGTGACCAAAGGCGGATCCAGCCTTTTTGGCCTACCCTCAAATTTTTTTTTTAAATATTAATATGTATAATTTATATATTTTGGTCCATCCTAACAAAAATATTAATGGATAAAAGTATTAATGTATAATTAATTTTTACTTTGGCCCACCCTAGCAGAAATTTCTGGACCCGCTACTAGTGGTGACTAATTGAATATTCACTGTTAGAAATAAGCTAAGAACATGAAACTCTATTTTTACAGTGGCCAGCAATTGACGAGAAATTAAATGTCGGAGTGAGAGAGTTTTTGTAGAGAGAAGACCGGAGGTTCAAATCAGTAGTGGATCCAAAAATTTTTTTAGGGTGGGCCAAAATAAAAACTAATTACATATTAATATTTTTGTTAAGGTAGGCCAAAATCTAAAAAAAATATATATTAATATTTTTTTTTTTTAAATTGAGAGCTCACCCAAAAGTGGGCTTGATCCGCCCTTGGTTTAAATGGTGGTGACGAAGAGAATATTAACTTTGAGTGTGAAAGTAGTATTTTAAAATTTTTTGGATATGAAAGTATCGTTAAGGCGAACCTTAGGTGAGAAAAAGTCGCTTATTCATATAAATATCAACATACCTTCAACCAAGTTACCTAAGCTAAGTCATTATCCAATTTGAATACAGTTTTGAATTTCCCTTAAAAGATTATCTTAATTGATTAGAATCAAATATAAAAAACAATGGAAAAAATGTTTAAAATATGTTAAAAGAAAAGAAATATATGAAAGCTTAGAAAAGTAAAAACGAAAAAGTTTGGCTAGAAAAATAACAGAATGCTTGACCCGTTACATAAGACCAGAAAACCATTAGCCAGGTCCACACGTTTTTGATCTATGTACGGGGGAGACTTAAACTTGAACTAAGATACGTGTGTAGAAAATAAAAATTGGATTGAAATGGGTCTCCACTCATACGTCAACGTTATCAAGAGTTAGGTGGGGCCTGTGGGCTGGATGGGTTTGGAAAGTTCTTGTACAGAATCTGAAATCATGAATTCTACAAATTAATGTCTGATCGAGCTGGATAAATTACTAAATAATTGCTCAACTCTGTAGGATAGTACAAGGGAATAGAAGGTTCGGTTATTAGCTGGGGTGTGCTGAGGACAGGTGTTGTTTAAGTAAAATATGTCATCAGGAAAATACTTTACAGGATTCAACGCTGAACCTTCTGATTTCTATAGTGATAAATAATAATACTCGGGTTTTGACTTTTGTGATTGTTGATTTTGTCAGTTTGTCACTCCATCTTTTGCAATGTTAATCGCTGGGATTTCGGCTTAAAATGAAACAAAGTAAAACTGAGGCCCAAGGGGGCCCAAATAGTGTGTTTAAAATAAAAGAGAAACAGATCAAGTTCAATCCAAAAGCAGCGATTCAAGAAAGGAGGACAGAAAAAGGCAGCTGCTTGCAAGAAT